TTCGAAAGTTTAGGCAACAGCTGTGAAGATAGTAGGATTTATTATGACGCCCATGCTGGATGACTATTATCTACTTTTGAAGACCTGTAATGTCTCCAATGTTTTGGGTTTGTTCTTTACTGTTTTGTTCAATTTTATTATAACTAATGATATAGGCAATTCTATTAGAGATAGCGGGAGGCATTATGGTAACCATTGTTGATCACCTAGTATTATGCTTTTACATTATCTATTACGTCCACCCTTTTGATTTGACTGACTGTTCTGTTATGTCACATTTGGTTCTACTCTCTTCCAAAAAAGTAATAAGAACTGTGGGAGCAACAAAACCCAAAATGTGTAATTGTCATTATACCAAAGAGAGGAAAAGAAAGTGCTCTAAACGATATAACTGCATGTATATTTAAGTGTATAAGATAATGATATTACTGAGTTTTGTTGGATCATTGAACAGAACTGTTTGCAGTCTCACTGTTGGAATGTCCACTTTATAAGCTTTAATTTTGTAACTTGAACAATTGTTTCTGAGATGACAAAATGTAATCCATTAACTAGTGATTTCCTACTGGTTTTTTTTCTGCAAATCTGTATAACTTGTACCCTTTCTCTGCTTTTTTTTTCTTTTTCTCCTTAAATAAAATTTAAAAAAAAAAGAAAATTGATACTAAAGAAGTATGATCGTTGCTAAAAATATACCTGATCATGTGGTTTAGCAGCCTTTGGAATGGGTTTGTGGAAGGAGTTTGGAAAAGTTTGATGATGTGGACCAGAGACTCTTTAGAATGCTATAAGCAAAGGTGGGTGGGTTGTTCTTCAAGAATTGCTTTTTGGTACTGAGGATCAAACTCAGGACCTTATGCATGGCAGGCAGGGATTTTGCCACCGAGCTATATCCTCAGCCACTACAATAAGTTACTCTGCTCAGAAATCAGATCACACTGCTGATAGAAATGAAGACAGTAAGGTCAGACTCAAGAAATTTCAGATGAGTATTATATTGAGAATTGGATTAGAGCCATGCACATTAAATTCTCACAAAGGACTTGTATTAGTCAGGGTTTTTCTAAAGAAAGCAGATATAACACAAGATACACAAATGTGTAAGAAATGAGACGATTGGCTTAGGATGGTCAGCCCCAGAGTCAGATGCAGAAGTGTGCAGAGGGTGTCCACATGCTGGAGGCCAAAGAATCCAAAGTCTGGGGTTCACCCTAGTGTCTTGTGAAATTCCACAGAAGTAGGCTGATAGGTCTGCGACAGAAGGCTGAGGGCTCTACGATGGAAGGCTGAAGAGTCTGCACTGGAAGCCAGGAGATGAGGACCAAACCAAAGGCAATGACTGGATCTTCTCCCAAAAATGGAATGCATTCGTCTTTGCTCCTTCCCTTTTATACCTCCAGCTGAGAAGCCACCCTACAGTGGATCTTTTATACCCTAGTTCATAGAGTTGCTAACCCCATTTAGTTAAGCTTCTAAATGTCTCAAGTTGACACCATCAATCAACCTCTACAGAACTTATCTACATTTTGTCTGGGTCCTAAGAATTTGCAAAGGCTGAGGTGCAGAGCTGTGGACTAATGAACCATTGGAGGAAATTTTAAAGCAACCTAGTGTTCCGGTTCTGGCCTGAGAACTGCTGGCTATTTTAGCTAGATTTATAATGAAACTTGGGCACAAAACACAAAGCAGGAAATATTTTTAAACATGAATTTTTACTTGAAAGGAACTACAAGTAAAATTTGGGCCAAAGGAATACAGTTAGTGAAGAGATAGGCACCATTAACTAACTAGGAACTTTAAATGAGAGCAAGAGAGATATTTTGAGTCTCAGGAATTGGCAAAACTACATTCATCAAGACAGAAGGCTGAAAAGGTATAAACATTTCATTTGGGAATAGAGCTGCTAAGCTCACTGCTCAAGAAAGGCCACTTAGAGACCTGGCTCCCTGGGTTTCATTCCACCAGGCTCGGCCATCAAGGCACCCAGAGCTCCCACAGGCATAGTCCAGGGAAGACTGGCTACTGCTCACACTGGTGGCAGACCTGGATATCACTCACATATCCTTGTTGCTCAGGCATGCGGAACGCAAGAGTTGTGGGGTCAGGCAGGCTTTCACACAGATTTTGAAAGACAGTTTGGGAGGTCCGACAGTATGTCCCTGAGAGGTGTATGCACAAAGCTGTGGAATTCATGAAGGTGTGGACTGAGGCCAAATGGACACTGGAGACCCCAAGAAATCAGAGTTGCCAGAAATGTGGGATGTAAACTGAAGAAAGCCACAGGGACAGAGTTAGCTCCAGAAAAAATTATGCAGGCTAAAGAGCAGGTCCAGAGAGGTGGGGCTGCTGAAGCCCTTTGAGCTCACATCTAACCACCATGTGCCCTGGATGGGACATGTAGTTATAAGAACTAATGTTTGCCTTGCTGGGTCTCAGGCTCGCTTTTCTATCCAATTTTTTTCTATCCTTTTATTCCTCCCTTACGGAATGGGAATATTTACCCTGTACCATTGTGTATTGGAAATGCATAACTTGCTTTTTGAATTTTCAGAGGTTCATAGCTAAGAATTTGCCTTGAGTTTCAGAGGAGACAAGGACCTGGATGGGGGTGTGGGTAGGGTGAATTATTAAACCAGGGATTAAGCCCAGGGCCTTTGCACTGAGCTACCACTACAGACTTTTTATTATTTTCTTCTGACCTATGGTCTCATCAAGTTACTAAATGGCCTCAACAACTGACTTATCTCAAGCTTGCATCCTCCTGCCTCAGCCTCCTAGGAGTTTTGAGATTATAGGCAGATAGTATTATGCCTAGTTGACTTGGAATTCTGAGAAATGCTGCAAATGTTGAGACTTTGGAGAAGGGATTACTATGGTTTTGTTTGTATATTATATCATTATATTAGGCAAAACCATGACCTTGTGTTTATTTGGAATTCAGGTTGACCAGAGTTGTGTTCAAGAGTGAAGATGAACGGTCAGTGTGATTCACTTCCAGCCGCACAGGGGAATCAGAGCAGCACACTTGTGAGGGGTCTGCATGGGTCACGGATGTGCGACCTTGCGTGCTGGGCCCCATCCCTGCCACTTCCTCTCCCGCCTTATACCCCGCCTCCACGGACTGAACTGCTGTCTTTGCTGCACCCTTTCACTGTGATGTTTCTGCATTGATGACAGCTGACCACGGACGAAGGCCCCAGAATCATGAAGAAAATTAAACTTTTTCTCCTTTGTTTATGACCATCAAGCAGTTAGTTCCAGCAACTGAATACTGCCCAGCATGGTCATCCTGGTGCAGTGCACCACCACAGCTAGTGTGGGTCACCGTGACAGCCTCCTAAACAGAGTTCCACTCCTGCCCTTGCCCACCTCCAACCTGTTGTCAAAACAGCATCAGGGTGTCCTCTTTATAATATGTCAACTCAAATCACTCCTGCTCAAGTCACCTCTAACCTCACTCAAAGTTAAACCCAAAGTTCTCACAGAGAACCCAGAGCCCTGTACAATCTGCCCCCATCCCTTCCCTGATGACCTCACCCCTCTTCTCCCCTATCCTTTACTGGGCTGCTTACTATTATTCCTCAGTGATTTAAAACACACTCTTACCTCAGGCCTTTGTCCCGGATGGTCACTCTTTCCAAATGTTCCTCTCACAGAAATCTGTGAGGCTTGTTTCCCACTTCAGCTCTTTACAGTGTACTCTGCAAAGCTGTGGTTCAGAGTTCATGGCCTCGTTCTTTCACGGATTTTTCCTTAGACCCTAACCAATAATTGTTCGAGGAAATCCCCACAGTTTCACAGAAACCACAATCTCTGCAATTTCATTTTTGACTGGAGGTTTGCAAGTAGCCAATCCAACAGCGTTACTCAGTTTTCCTTGCAGCTGATTGGCTGCAGCCATGTACCGTACGTCTGGCAGATGCGCCAGCATCCCTGCATCATAACGGGGTGCTGTACCGCACGTAGCTATCTCTGGTGTCCTCGGTTTTGTTATCTGTAAAGCCCTAAAGATGCCACCAAAATGCCCTGCACCAAGGCTTTTTCGTTTGTTTGTTTTGGTTTAGTTTTTGCTTTTTTATGGAGCATGATTTCACTATGCAATTCAGTCTGGCCTTGAACTCACAGCAATCCTCCTGCCTCAGCCTCCCAAGTGCTAGGATTAATGTCCCCAACCCAGCTTCTAAGTCTTTATTAATACAGTATTTTATAAATCACATAACTGTGGGAGACATAACATATTTACGATATAAACTATAAAAATAGGGACTTACAGGCATTTTTATGACCATAAATGAACTTCGTGGTTTTTCACAATTTGTGGATCCTCTAAGGATGCACATTTCAGGGGCCCAATGTACCCAGTTGTCATCTTCTTAGTAAGGGCTTCCTGGTGCTTTTTCCAAAATTTGTCACCATTCACACAGGTCTTGTCTCCCTCTCTTGGGTAGCTTTTGGTAGTTGACATTACATACAACGCTGGATTTTGAGAATTATTCATCGTTTATTAGACTCTGGCTCCCCGGTTAAGGCGTTGAGAGTAAGGATTTTTGTGTTTTGTTCACTATGCTCTCTCTGGTGCTGAGAATAACAGATACTCGGCAGTTCTAGGTACTCAGGACACCGGCTCCGGAGAATCAGCTGCAGCGCCCCAGTGCAGGTTTTTAAAACGCCCATCTGAACCGACTAAAATACGAAGAGGTCCCAATTCCTTACAAAAACTTTTTCTTCCACAAAAAGCCAGAAACAAAAGCCAGCACTAAAGCGGGCTCCTGACCCATGCTGAGGGGCCGCTACTCCCTGTTATGCCCAAAACCAGGTTTCATGTATCTTTTTATGGATTCTAAGCGTCTGAAATTCCCAAAGGAACTACAGTCCCACCCCTGTGAAACTCCGGCTCGTGACCTGTGCTAGCCCCCTCTCCTTCTCTGGTTCACCCGCCGGCCCGCTGCAGACCCGGCTCTGCAGGGAAGAGGCTGGGCGGCTGCACATGCAGGCCCCGGAGAAGACAGCGCTCTCCCAGGGTCGGGGAGGCCTGCAGCGGGCCCTGCACGCACCCCGGACAGGTGGAGCTCCTACCAAGGCGTTCTCCTCTCTCCACCTACGCCCAGCCCAGCACTGGGAAGTGGCTCTGGGGCAGGCCTGGAGCACAGCAGAACTCAGCCAAGTTTAGAACAGGTCAGGTCTTCACCAGCAATGGTCGCTTAAGCGACAACAGAAAGAGACACAGGAAAATGTAAGAAATACGCTACTGTGTCTTCCATATGAGACTGTCAAATAAAAGATAGGATGCCCACGCAAGTTTAAATTCCAAGTAAATAGCACAAATGATCAGTATAACCATGTTTCAAATATCACAGGGGGAGCAGTTTCTAAATTTTTTTTTTTCATTTTTAATCTGAAATTCACATTTAACTGAACATCCTGTCCTCGCACATGTGAAATCCAGCGGCTCTCCATCCTTTCCCTTTCAACCTCTTCTCCCATTTGTCCAGGTCCTTCTTGCTGAAAACCAGCGTGGCGAGTGGGGAGGATCAGCTAGCCCACCGAGGTGGGGCCAGAAGTCCAGCAAGGGGTGGTGGAGACAAAGGTAAACTAAGGCGGGGACAACACACACTATGCAAAAGAAAAATATCTATGAGAGGCAAAGGGCAGAAGAGAGAAAAGCTCCAAGCAGAGGGAATTATTCAAACAAACCACAGAGGTGTGAAAATTCCCAGAAACCATGAGCTGTGTACTCCTGGAGTGTGACAGTGGGGCAGAGAGCAGCACTGGTGGGATGGTGGGATGGTGGCCAAGGAGCCTGGCGCTGTGTACCCAGAGCCAGGCCGGCGCGGCAGAACTCTCGGAAGGGCTAAGCAGGAGGCTGACAAGAGGAGGGGCATGGACGGAGGTAAAAACTTAAGGTTGGGAAAAATAATTCTGAGATGCTCATCAGACATCAAGGAAATATGGATCAGAGACTCAAAGAAAAAGCTGTGGCAGCTGTCAGCATACGTTATGGTTATGTTTACCTGGAAATCACAAACTAGCAATGATTTTAACAGAATAAAATCAGTTCTTCTAAATCCAGAGATGAGGAGTCCAGTCTCAACAAAAGTGAGGCTCCCAGCACTGAAAACCCCATCTTCAGGTACGACTTCCATCCTCAGAGTAAGCTCCGGGGCCAGTTTGCTTTGTAAGCTACTTTCCGCATGTCCACAGTGCAGGAAGCTGGAAAGAGATAGGAAGAACAGTAAGACACACATTCCCAGGCCCTTCAGGAGCCTGCCTGGAAACACACACACGCACACACACACACACACACACACACGCACGCACGCACGCACGCACGCACACACGCTGCTGGGAACTTCTTGCCCTGATCTAAGCCATATGGCCCCTCCTTGGTATGATACAGACTAGAAAATGTGACTGTTTATCTGGACCCATCTTAACCTAAAATTAGGGTTCTGCTGGTTAAAGAGGTGAGTGGGGATAAAAAACAACCTCTTCCACCTCAGGAGAGTGGATAAGATAAAGGGAATTCTGTCATGCGAAAAACACTGCAGGTGAAGACTGGCAGGGGAGTGGTTTAAGGGGCAGCAGGCGAGGGGAAGAGGTTAAAGAGGAAAAACTGTAAAGGGAAAGGAAGCATCTTTCCCAGTTCTCAATTTAATGATTCACTGATGTAATGATTTGTCTTCTACTGCAGATGCGTATTATATTCTCAAGAACTAAACTGGCATTTCTGGGTTACTTTTATTTATTATTCACATTTGCAGCTATAGTTTTTGTGTTGCGTATTTGCTTCTGTCTAATGGCTGTGGTCATTCAGCTTATTCCAAATGACCACAGCACCTCTGGAAACCACATTAGCTCCTTCAAGCCCTCAGAATATGCTGGAGCAGCGACTTCCACGATAGCATCTTCACTTTCAGATACAGAAATAATTCAGCTCCACGACTCTCTCAAAGGTGCTGGGTTAATGAGAACGTTAAAAGTAACAAACAATGGGTGTCAAGTTGAAATGCTTAGCACAGAACAGAAACAAAGCTATACTGATATGTTTCAATAAAATAAACAGAGTCTATTACCAAAAGTTGTCTTTCAAGCAAAATTCTGATATTGAAACCATATTTTTCTCATTCATTTTACTTACTATGAGAAAGATCAGTCCCACAGCATATAAAATCAAACTGCAGTTCAGAGCCAGGCATCTCCTCCACTGAGGGGAATGAAGAAATGAAAACGGAAAAGAGAAGGTACGTCATTATCCACCACATACAGCTTGTGATCTCTAAATGGACAAAATGAGCAGGCCTCTAATGAGGGCCAACTAGGGCCAAACATGGCACTGGAAAGAAGAGATTCACTGTCAGCATCGCCTGCCGAAAGCCAACAGCAGTGAACCCTCAAAGTCCAGTAGTATTTCTTAAACAGTGACTTATCAATCATCAAGAAATGACAGTGCATCTTTTCCAAATAGGAAGAAGACTAAGGATGGGGAGAAGGCAGAGGATGGGGAAGAGGAGGGGACGGAGCAAGACTTAAGACTCGGGTCTCATGTTCTGCAAACATGTGCTAATAAAAATAAAAATTAAAAAAGAAATAGTGACATATACCTAGTTAAGTATCCTAGGTATTAATAGTCTTACATATTTGTAGCATACTACATTGGTAAAATATTTTAAATCCTGTAAGGCATTTTCAGTTTACCAAAGGCTCTCAGGCCTCTGAAAGTTATTAGACAGATTGTGCTACTTAATCCCACTGCGCAGATAGCATTGCTGACTCAGAGAAGGTGGCGAGGGGCGGGGAGAGAAAAAGAGCTCGCTGTGCTCCAAACCCTCACTGGGGAACTGCATCCCTGTGTGACAATGCTGGGAGACGGGGACTAATGGAAGATGTTAGATCCTGAGGGCTCCACCCTCATGAGGTGACCACTGCCTCTCAGAAAGGGAAAGGTTCTCTGTAGTAGGCTCTACCGCCATGTGTGGATGTGTCGACTTCAAGGTGTCACCCTCGGAGGCAGAGATGAGACCCGACCAGAGTCGCAAAGCTGACGTTACCAACTCCTGTCTCAGAACTGAGATAGATTGCTGTTCTTTATAAATTATCCAGCTTGTGGAATTACACTATAGTGCCACAGACTGAGACAAAGTGCCACTAAATCTTTCTCCCTAAAATCCCATGAAACCGTTAGACCTATATAAATATTGAGAGGGCTTGTGATTCCAAGATGTCACTTCCATAAGAATATCAGATTATTTCTTAATATATGTGACTTACGCACTTACAATATTCAAATCATCATTAAAATGTACTAAGAAACAATTTGCTTCAAAGCAATTATTAAAAAATATGCTAATATGTCAGAGTTCCTCAGAACGATCATTGTGAGGAGCAGTTACACTTTTATCTGCAGAGATACTAACAAAAGCCCTGTTTAAGATCATTTCACGTAACGTTATTTTTTAATCTCCACATTTAGGTATTTGTTTTATAAATAAGGATCTAAGAAAATATAACCAGAACATAAATCATCCAAAGTTGCTCTTAAATGATGTCTGCTATTGATTTTAATGTTAATTAGTTCTTCAACATAAAACTTTACAACATAGTGTCTTCCTCTCCCCCTTTCTTCCCCATTGGATTATCTTTCAGTTACTGATTATGACATAATTACCCAAACCTCTCAGCAAGTGGTTTACCAGCCCTGCACTTTCATGTCAATGGCAAATGCAGCGTATAGTGCTAACGAGTATGGCAGTCTACAACTCAACAATATTCCAAATTTCAGTTCCAACAAGATTGTTCATACACACTGGATTATTTTCAGGCCTATTACTCCCAGGCTGATTTCAAGTCACTTTCACAGTCATTGGTACAGCTTTCATAAGAATTAGTTACCTATTGCTGCTGTAATATATTACCACAAAGTTAATGACTTAAAACAACTGCTGTTTCTCAGCTCTAAAAATGAAAATTTGGAAATGAATCTTAATGGGCTAAAATTAAGATGTTGACAGGACTGCAGTGTTATAATGCTGAGAAAGAAAATTTGCTGCCTTGTACTTCTAGGTTCTAGAGGCTGCCTATCCTGTGGGGTTCTTAGGCCCTTTCGCTAGCTTCAAAATAAGTGATTAAATATCTTCGAATTTTTCTAATGTTAAGCCTAGCTTTATCCTTTCCCTCTTTCACTGAAGCCCTATGGTTAGATAGGCCTGTTATGGTTTGTGACTAGATGCCCCCCGCCAGCCTCATGCAGTCACGGAGGCAGCTGAATCCAGTGTTTGTGAATGGTTTGTTGTGTAATGCTGGGATTGGTGGTGTGAGTGTTGCACCCGTCCAGGGCCAGAGCTGGTGTGCAGCGTGAGAGAAGGAAGAAGGTGTGCTCTTTCCCACTTTCTGCTCTTCACTCTTGTTGCTTGTGGGTGCCATGACTAGCTGCCTCTCAGCCACACCACCCTGCCGTGGAGCCAGCTAAGTAAGGACTAAAACACCCAAAACTACAAGATAAATAAAACTCCCACTCCCTAATTTTGGGCATCAGGTATTTTGTCTCATCAATGAGAAAAAAGTAACTAAGACAGGGCCAATCTAAATAATCCAGCATAATGCCCTCATTTCAAACTTCTCAATTTAACGACATCAGCAAAATCTCTTTTGCCATGTGAGGTATCTTTTGTGTAACTGGATGCTAGGACGTGAACCTATTTGAAATGGCAATATTCTGCCTATCACCCAACAAAAAGAATCCTTTTGGATTATCTGCATGAGTTAAAGAAGAAATAGTTTTGGCAATTTTGCAACATCTTGTTTTCTAATAAGAACACTGCTTCCTATTTTCCAAGTTCCTGGAAATAGCTCAGATCCTCCATCACTTATTAACTTATTTCCAAAGAAGTAATATCAACCTAGAGAAAATAAGGCTTGGTATGGCTCTTAGAATCTGTAGCCTCAATGCAGCAAATAGAAATGTGTGCTCTCCAAAGTCAAAGGCATGACAAAAAATCTCACTCTGTCATATTGTCAAACATCTTATGACAGAAATGGTCTGAGTATGTCCACCAAAATCCATGTGTTGGAAGCTTAGTCCACAGTGCAATGTTGTTAACAAGTGGGACCTTTGAAGAAGGGTGATTAGATTATTAGCGCTCTGAGTTTGTGAATGGATGAATGTCATTTTGTACAAGGTTGTTATAAAACGTGCTCAGCCACCACTTGCAGTCTCACACACTTCTCAGTGTGGCATTTTCTCACATGTCAAGACATAGCAATAAGCCCACCACCCAGTGCAGCCCTTGACCTTGGTCTCCTCAGACTGCAGAACCATTAGCCAAATAAATCCCTATTATCTACAATGACTGGGTCTATAGTAATCTGTTATAGCTGCATAACTAAAGACAGACATCAAAGTCACTTGTTGTGATGTTTTACATAGCCCACAGTTATTCAGTGTGTTGTGAAGAAGAAAGCTTTCAGAGTAACAAAAGAACAAAGATGAGCTACTTTGTTTTCCATACTCAAGCAGGTGAGAGATTGAGTCTAGCCTTAAATTCCTCAGAGGTTTCTAACTTTTCCAAAATGAGCACTTGTTATGCACACACATGTGTTGTGTGTGTGTGTGTGTGTGTGTGTGTGTGTGTGTGTGTGTGTGTGTATGAGTGTGTGTAGTTTGTTTAGAAGATCTCCAGGGGAGAAGAAATAATTTATCCTAGTACCCTTTTCAAATAGGAAATAGTTTTGCTTTTTCTTACATAGACTAATCTCTGTATGGCTGTCAGGAAACTATTTAAGGAGATGACAAGAAAAAGAGGCCAGAAACTCATCTCTTTTTCAGAATAGCAACAGAAAAAGTGAAGAAAATACCAGGAGAGTTCTTACCAATATGGTCTTCCTGTTATAGAAGAAAATCTCAGTTTTACGCAGAATAGATCTGAGCCCTTTCACCTAGTTCATTCATATCCAAATGAATTTAATTAAAAATGATATGGCCAATGAGATAGGTCAATGAGACAGACATATCTGTACAATTCCTCTTATAAATAACACAGACATGACCCATTCTAAATGCCCAGTTGTCTGTGTCTTTGGAATCAGAGATGAGGCCCAGGGTATGACTGCGGTCAAGATTTGTGCTTTCCAAGCAGTAATCATTACCTACTACACATAAGACCAAGGCAAATGACTTGACTTTCTCAGCCTTGTTTCCCTACCTGTAAAATACATAGGAACAGTGCCTGGAGTTTTCTACTATAGGAGAAGGAGCAAATATGGCAGATAGATAACAGCAGGCTACAGAGGCTTCCTGAGATAGTCAACTTAGACTTCAACATAATACAGCATGGGGAGCCCCAAACAAAGGGAGATGAATTCTCTCATCCCAAGAAGAAACTAAGGTGAGAAGAACCAATCAAACATACAGTCCCAGTGCTACTATTGGAGCAGCTAAAGGTTCAGTGCTCCTGTCACAGTGCCCAAACCTAAGCAGCAGTGACTTACTGAGCAGTCCAAAATCCCACCACTTCAACTCACTGGAAATGCAGTCACACTGAGGTTGGGGATTGGTGAGTCGAACAGAGAGCTGAGCTAGTGGGGAACCTGCACTGACCTATGATAAGTGACAGGAATAAAACCATTCCACAGAGAAGAGGGCTCCAACAGATGACCTTCTGGGACTGGGCAGGACTGGCAGGAACAAGGGGCAGCAGTGACTTCAGTCAGTTGTTCCCTGTCTGAATGGGATTGGTGGAATGAGCTTGCCCTGGGTCACGCGGCTGGGCTGAGACCCCATAGGTCATCCAAAATCAATTCCCTATTGCAGCAGCACACACAAATGCTGTGAAGGCCTCAGCAGGTTGACTGACCTGGAGGGGAGGCAGAGCATAGTAATACAGTGCAGGCCACAGCAGCTTGACTGATCCAGAGGGGAAGGACCAACATACTCTGCCCTTCTTTACAACTCACTAGCACACTGCAGTGGGAAGGGTCACCTAGCCAGCATGCTTCAGAAGAATTGTAACCAACAAAGAAAGAAACTAGAGCCTCCTGGAAGAAGCAAAAAAGATGGGAAGAGGAAGCAACAACAAAAAGTTCCCAGGTCCCAATCCTGAGAACATTTACCCAGGACAGGAAAATACAAAGGAGAATGAGAACAGCAAACATGCAATATCAGACACAGCACCAGTGGACATAAAGAGATATATTTGGGGCCTCATAGAT